CGCAGCCTCTCTGTTTTTTGCAAAGGCTGACCTTTCCTTTCCACACCTCCGCTGTGCTCTGTTCTGCACTCTGTGGATCAGGGCTCTTGTCTCGCCTATAAACCACCTCAACTGAAGGTGAAGGACCCTCATTCCCTCCCTCTATCTGCTACTCTATCCCCCGGCTCTATTCTCGGTAGAGAACGGGGGAGGAAGAAGGGGCGGAACACAGCGAGCTATCACCTTCAGAAGCTTCAAAGAAAATCTGCCAGTGATTTCTCAGCATTTCAAAAACAATAATTTATTTTATTTTATTTTTTTAAACATTTTTTTAAAAAAAGAAGGAAAGGAGCAAGTAGCGTCTTCAGGCATTCTGCCGCATTGAAAAATAAGTTAATCACTGCTGAAGAGCTTTTGCAAATATTGCACACACAGAAAAAACAACAACAGAGATGTAAAACAGTAACCAGAGCTCTATTCAGACAGTTACAAAGATACCGCGCCGTCACCTGCTCGCTGTCCAAATAAAAATGACCACCTATGTTTAGCTGATTTCTTCCCACTTTGCAGGGGGATGCCAAAATTTCCCTTTGTTGTGCCAACTTAAACACACACAAAAAACATTTAAAGCATGACATGGACCCTGTCTAATAAAACCAGGCATCAAATAAACAGTTAATTAGGCTACTAATGCTGGCTCACATTCATGGAGCTACAATAAAATTGATTTTGCTGTTTTGCTTAACTGAGTAACTAATCTCCCATTTTCTACACATTTCTGCTAATTGCAAAGCAAAGAGAAGCACTGACAGGGGAGCTATATAATTGGACCGCAGAACGATCAGGGGAAAACCGATGAAATTATATCACTTTCATAACACTGCTCGCCTTGATTTTGCGACGACTGAGGCTGTGTCAGTTTAAGGAAGTGCTCGTAATAGCCGAGAGTGAATTAACAGAAATAAATAAATAAACAGGCACAAATGAGACTCTAATTGCGCTGCTCGCTCTGCCTCCAGGTCGCAAAAGGCAGCGCGGCACAGCAGAGGTGCAGCCAGCCAGCATTAATAAATTAAATCCACAGTGGAGCATGGAGGTAATCCATTACCTATCCCATAGGAGAGCTTCCAGGGAATATCAATCTAAGCAATTAGTACTAAAAACAGTAAACAAAGAAAACTAACATGCAAGCCTGGCAGTTTTAATCTATGGAGCCTTATGGGACAGGAAGCACTCAAAAAGTCTGTGAGAGTCATTAAAAGTCAATTTGTAAGAGAACACCTGCAGAACAAACAAGGAGGAAACGAGGGAAACAAGAGGACGATGGTTGGCTAAAAAAAAAAAACATTAAACAAAAAAAAACAGTGCGGAGCGAAGCTTCTTATTGGCTGATCTCTGTTAATTATCCTCGTAATGAAAAGCAGAAGCGGAGCTGAGCAAACCAGCCAGGAGATTTGGAAATGCTCGAGCTCGAGCTTCAGCGAGTAACACGCCGCTGACGGCACAGCGCAGCTCGTGTTGTGCTTAGTTTAACAAGCTAAAGGAAGAAAGACCCCACGCTTGCTTACTGACTGGATGCCTTGCAATGACAGAAGAGAGGCAGAAAAGCTGATGCAGAAGACATTTTTAAAAAAGCAGAACAAAAGGAAATGTATAGAGGAAAATCAACCTTACTCAAAAAGTACATGAAGAAATTGTTCAAAAAGCGCAGGAACAGAACAAGTAATACTAACTGTACCCAAGTCGTGTCTGCTCACTGTCAAAGTGCTGCAGGACGTACCTGCCTGGCAGCTCTGCTCTCCATCCTTTCTGCTATGCGACCGCTTAGTTTCCATTGTACAGGAGGCACAATTTGCTGGAGAGGAGGCTGGAGTTGCCTCCCAGCTCGCTCCTCGGCAGCTGCCTCCTGTACGCTCGCTCCACTGAGTGAGGGTGGAAGACAGGGAGAGGAGAGTGTAAAAGGAGAGTGTAAAGGGAGAGGACGAGGGGTGTGGGTGTCACACAGAGAGAGAGAGAGAGAGAGAGAGAGAGGCGGAGAGCGCAAGTCTACCTGCCACAACCCATCAAGCCAGCCAGCCTTGGAGACAGCGCCAAATCAACAGCTGGCCCCTGTGTGATGTCAGAGCCTCAACAACCAGTCACGGCGGCCGAGGCCGGCCGGCACTACAGAGCGGACTGAACCAAAGTCACCGGCTAAATGGGGCTCTTCATTAGCTACTTTAGGATAGAGGCGGGGGAAGGAGGATGATGAGGAGGAAAAAGGGCAGCTAGGGACATGGGATAGATGGAAGGAGACAGAGAGGAAGAGGAGAAAACAGGAGGGCGGGAGATAGAGAAAACACAAAGAAAGGTGCTCAGAGGAAAGAGAAAGGAGAGAGAGGCGGCAAACAGGGGAGGAGGAGAAGATAGGAGACAGGAGCGACGGTTCTGCAGCCAGCTAGGTGCTCAAAGAGCAGGTGGAGAGACGATGGGGAGGCGCTGGCCGCTGAGAGGCCGAGCTGTTCACTGGGCTACCTTCCCATTCAAGCTGGCACCCTGCTTTTCGCACGAAAAAAAAAAAAAAATCAAGGCTACAGCTAATCCCACTGACTCAGAGATAGACAACACCTGAAATACCTCCTGTTACTGCAACTGAAAGGAAATGTGCTGCAATAAGACATTTCGTTTAAAAACAACAACATAATAAATGCATAATTGGTGAATTAGGGGTTCACTGATTGTCACATTCTGGGCAGATACTGATTTTTTTTCAGTTCATATATTTAGGTTTTGGATTTATTTTCATATCAAAAAAAATAATGATGTGTTTGAAAACCTTTGTCATTGCTTTTTAAAAAAAATTTCACCAGCAAATAGATGATGTACGGTGCAGAGACAAAAAGGGAAAACTACTTGGCAGAAAAGCAAAATAAATAAATAAATAAAAAGTCAATTTCTGTGCCAATACCGATGTATTAACATGACAATACAGCCTATAACCAATATTTTTTCTTTTGAATTGTTTGTTGTTGGAATGTATTTCACGCTCTATGTGTGGGGAAACAAAGATTTTTGTGTAAACTAGGTCTAGTAACTAACCTGTTTAAAAAGCTCTTCGTCTCATCACACAAGTTTTTATCACTTTGCCAGTGCAAAACTGATACTGTACAGTGTAACAGGAGAGTTACACAGTAGAGATGAAGTGATGTGAAATTGAGAGCTGATACAATGTTTAGACAAACAATTTGTCCAATTTTTTGTGTGTTTTTAAACCTGCCCAAAATAGAGGTGACATATCAGTAGCTGGTATCAGTCAAAAGGATACCGATATTCAGGCAATATTAGAGATGCAACATTTTAAGCAAAAATGTAACTCCATATTCATCAAAGACGCCTGCCCCCACCAATCACAAACTGCTTTCAAAGGACAGCACATAATTGTGGCAGACTTGTGACTTGCTAGCTTTACCTGAGGGGTATACTATGAAGTAAGTTTATAGTACGCCCAGCCAGGTTTCCTTTGCGTTAGCTGGTTTGACAAAACCGAAAACCCCTGTGAGAGATAACGGTTATCAAACAGTTGTTATCAAATTTCTTTTACTAAACCGGGCTCTTTGCTTTAGGGTCTGTGACATAAAAAGGGGCGATTCACGCCTCACATGACTATTCTTTGGCACAAAATGATCCCTGCGAGTGCCACCTATTCCAGTTAGGGATGTTATATAACGGTGAAATAGTGATAAAAATATACAAAGAAAATACCAAATTTAACAATTAAATACAATATTGTTGCAAATAAGACAGAAAATTATTGCAGTAGAAAACCATAAATCTTTGGATCTAGAACATAAGAGTTGTGAAGGTAGAATTCAGGCTGTGCATGATTACAAATCGCCCTTAAGAGCTTCCATTTTGAGCCTGCCTTTCATAACTTCTGAGGGGTTAACAGGAAAAACAATTAGGGCCTCCTCCATCTGCTTTGTTTATTTTATTAAGTAAAGAAAGTTCTTCTGTCCTCTGTACATGCAAAGAAGAGGGGATGCTAATAGCTGCATGGTGAATATAATCTACTTCATGAGACACTTTCATCACTAAGTGACTGACAGGCTGTCAAAGACACGGGAAGTCACAAACAGGTCCTATGCGCAGCCGAAGTCTAGACTGCCATAATGTGATTGTTTTTGTCCTTTCAGTCACTCAGACTTTTAGGAGCAAACACAGTGGGCGGAAAAGTTCCTGCTGTCACTTAGCAACCAACAGCAGGCTGCGACAAACGATCCGATCCAATCCTGCCTCATAATTGTACCATTCGTTATGCCAGGTCTCTGAAGAATTTATTATTGTGCTTTCTTAATCCCATGAAAAGGTCACCAATTGAACAAACAATTTATGGATCGAGGGGATGAATTATTTAATGGCTCAAGCCAAATATTATAGGAATGAGAGGTTTTTTTTCCACCTTCCCTGGAAGGCGATGAATTATTTAGTCATCGGGGCCACATCTTTGGTGAAAGCTATTACACGGCAACCTCAACCTCAATATCGGATAATGTCATCAGCTCCGAATATGGCCTAAACCTGCGTAATGAATGGTCAACAGAGCAGTGGGCTGCTGTGGCCTGAGCAGCCGGCGGGTGAAACTGTTTTGGCAAACAATTATTAGCATTTATTTTAAGCCTCGGAGGGGAACGCAGGCAGTCATAAGAGAGAATCTGAGCGGTGATCTTAATGTGTGCACTCACCAAGCCGGTAAAAACGTCTTAAATCTATCGCTCTAGCACAGCAAAAACCAGCTGAAAGATCTCCAAATCAATTATGGTAATAATTCAGCATAAGGGAATGTTAATGTGATACAATATGGAGCACGTTGCTGCACAGCACAACATCTCCACTCTGGGAAACAGCAGCCGCAGGGACTGAACCAGCATCCACTCTCTGCCCACCAGGCTCCACTGGTACTGTAATGAAAATGATACTATCATGACGCTCAGCCTCATTGGTGGCAACTTGGAGGCTTTTATGGCCATTTCTGTCTCTTTAAGTCAATGAAGCGATAACTGTGTGCATCTGAATTATTATGGTTATAGCTTACTTATTAAGCAACTACCAAACTGGGTTATTGGATGTCTGATTGGTTGCCTTTTACAAGTTCAAATCAGGATGTACTGTCCTCTTACAAGAATAATAGAGCTTTACTAAACTGCTTTACTTCAGTGCGTTCATTCATTATCATTAGTCATATTCAGACTTTGAATCAAGAGTTACACTACCAAATTACATGAATGAACTCTTATTTGAATACAAAATCAACCTTTTTAGATCCTTTTTGTTAGACTCCAAGGTTATCTCTAGCTAAACCGCTCAACCATATGTGTAATTCACTAATAATAACGGGAGTTGTTTTTCTCTGCTCCCAGCCTATAAACCAAGACACGAGTCAAAGCACAGAGGAAGGTTGGAAGAATCAATTCAAAACAAACGCATTTACTCTGCTAATTGATTACTCTGATTTAATCAGATTCAGCCAAACAATCAGTTTTGCAACATCGACTTTGTCACACCGAGCTCCATTACAAACCTGGTAATTTAATGTTACCTTTGTATCGGCAAACCTACAAACCCCAGACAGAATGAAACGTTTTGCTCTGGTAAAAAAAATTATTGGGACTAAAATTCGGCCAACGAAATATCCAGCCAAGCAGTTCAACAATTCAATTAAAGCTTAATTTATTCAACTGGTTAACAGCGTCAGTCAACTACCCATTGCGGCAGATTACTAGGACAGACACAGTCGAAGCAGGCCTAAAAGTTATTGAATAATACCCTGTAATTTAACAACGGCTGTTTGGTTTTGTGGACGAACGCCGAATTGAAGTGTGTCTGCTTACAGTTCAGATGTGGTTTCTGGTTACGAGGTGTGTGCTTTAGCCGAGGAGCACGGGAGCAAACGGAGCTACATTTGGCGTTGAATCCTGTCGGGGCTAAGCTAACGACTCTTACCTGGCACCGTGACTTGCTAACGCTTGAGAACGGCCAAACACCGGCGACCTGAGCGTTCTCACTCCAGCAAAGAGAGGTGCTTACTGGTAACTAGTCCGTGTTGCATGATTACAACTACCCACTTAACATTATTTGTCGCAAACCAGTAAATGCAGGACAGGATACTGCAAATATCTTACGTTGCCTTACCGCTTCGGTTTACAATCGGTGAACAGGCGCTGTTGTCTCCACCGAGGGTGAAGTAGCTAGTGTTTGTGGCAGAGTGAAGAGGCAGCGTCCAGCAGCAGGCTGACTGCGTCAGCTCCTCACGCTCGACACGCAGGGTGTTGAAAATATGTCACGTTTAGTGGTGGTTGTTGTTGTTGTTTTAATTAACTTGTGCCAGGAATCAGACAAGCAGTTTCTCAGACAGTTTCGTCATTTTCCTTCACACATCCCCAAACAAATATGTGTTTTTCACACCGTCAGTCGAGTTGCGATTTAATTAAATAAGTGCTAGGAAGTTACACGGGATAGTCACCGGTACTTAAGTGTAGCGGATGCCGGGTGATATAAACCGAGTGTACCTTGAATTTGCCGCGAAACCATCCTGGCCTTTTAGTTCAGTCTGCTGTTTTATTGCTTCGCGTCATTGCGCACTATCACTAGGTAGGAGAAACCTTACATATATAAATCAACCGAAAATACCGTTCATGTATTTATTTAATTCTTTTTGTATTGTTTTGGGTTTTTTTGCTAACACTTCTGCCATGTGACTAAATTTCTCTTGAGTTCATTACAGGATAGCAATAAATGGGTGCTTGTAATAGAAGCATGTGGTTATATGTGAACACGGTAAACATAAAAGCTTAATAACAATATCTAGTTACAGAATAGCTAGGAAGCAGCAGAGCAGCGAGGAGTGTAACTAATGTTACTAATTAGGTGGTGCTTTTATTTCTATAGGCAGTATCACAACTTCCTGTGTCCTCTACTAGCTCTAGCTAAGGATGCTACAGACTCGCTGAAGTTTTTAACGGGGTTAGTGCTGTGCGCTAGTGCTGCGTTCTGGTGCCGATACGATACCAAGTAAATACTTGGCCAATATTGCTGATACCTATACTAATACCTTTAACCTATAAAGGCAGCTTATGTAGGGGAGCAGTATGTCATGATTTATGAGCTGAATCATCCTCAATTTGCCAAATTCTGAACACATTTTAATAACCACTACAGGATTCTGATTGATTCTGTTGTTTACATGTGCTATAGGCTGTAAAAATACATGTAACACACAAAAAGGTTAACACATTTTTCATTGATTTATTTATAATTTATTATAATTATTATGATTTATTTAACACAATTCAGTGGGCTACATACTGGACTTGGGAACAAAGTACCGATCCGATCGCGCTATTGATCCAATACTGATACCCGCATTGGCATTGAAGCTATCAGTACTTGGATGGATCTGCCCACCGGTACATGGAGTGTTTGGCTGCTACTTTGGCAGGCCTCAGCCCCTAACTTGTCTTTTTGTTTGATATGTCTTCCAGGCCTGTTTCCAGAGTATTCTTTCTTTCTTTTTTAAATATTTGCACAAAAGAATCTGAATATTTGGCCCAAAATACCCTCATGGTATGAAATGAAAAGTTTTTTCACTTTTCATTTGCACACTCAGTTGCACAGTGGTCATTCCTTTCATGTGATACCAACCAGCTACATACCAATAGACATGAATGATAGACTTTCCTTCTGCTCTTAAGCGCAGGTAGTGCCAACTTTCTGTGCTTAGTAGTTCTTCTTAGCCACAGTCATAGTTTTGTTGGGTCGCTGGTGTGCCTGTCTCGGTGGCTGTGATTACATATGGCAGCAGACACTTCCAGGACTGACCCGAATGATGAGGCAACACAGAGGAGGTGTTGTTGTGTTGTGACTGGAGGTGGCTGAGATAGGCAACTTTTACTATCACCGTGCTTCATCATCCAGCATTTAATAATGATATTCCTGTCAATGCTACCAAGACTGCAGGGGAAAGTTACTCACCATTACTACAAAATCAGCAGTCAGGGTGCTAAACTAAATCTGTTGTGCAATAGATGCTAATCCATGTACATTTTGGTTTAACAATTATTTTTGTTTTGTTTTGTTTTGTCCTCCAGATTCAAATTGGAGCCGACTGAGCAAGTACTGAGAAACTGATGAGGACTTGCTAATGGAAATGGATGATAATGGCCTACAGGCCTCTTGCTGTGATACAAGATGGTCGGAGCAACTGTCAGGCCTTCCTCACAAGCTCCTGCACCGCCTGATGCCTTTCCAAAGGGAGGGAGTGGAGTTTGCTTTATCGAGGAGCGGACGGTGAGTGGTGACACCCCCGGCAACAGTCCAGTCATTTTAAAATGAAATTTACATCTTGCAAATCAATAATAGCTACTAAAGATAGTCGTCAATGAATGTAGACCTACAGAGAACAGAGGAGTACCGCTCTGTTTTCGACATTACACTCCACCTCTGCAAGTATTGATTTGATTTCTGTGAAGATGTTTTCAAGTCAGATGTGTTGTGTAAGCATATGGGAGGAGACTAGCTGCACCTTAAAGGGGACAGTGGTCGACAGTAGTGGATCAAACATGCTAGTTCTCTTGGATTTTAATGCACTGAATCTACACCGATTAGCTGATTTTCTTTTTCTTTGTTATAATCATAAACTGTACACTATGTCTAGTGCCTGGTCAGTTCATGTGATATTCTTTCAGCTTTCTTCATTATGTAACAATTTCAAAATTCATAAAATGTTCTTTTTAGAAAAGACTCACTGTTACAAAGGACAGCACAGTTACTCCTCCTCAGTGCACAAAAATAAACTGTAATGTTTTTATTTAGTGCCCAGCCTGCTAGGCCAGGTCGATTTATTGTGTCTAGGTGGATTGCTGCAACACAGATAAGCATCAATTTCATTAGTTATCCAGAATATTTTGACATGTAGATGTGCTTTTTTTCATCCCTTGGCTAAAGATCTGTCTTTGGACGCCTCCACAGCCAGACCTATTTTATCAATTAACTCTGTTGAGCACCAGCAGAGGAAGTGTAAAGCGTATATGCATGAGTTCTATGACTCACACGGCTATTTTCAACTGCATGTTGCGAAAGAAAATGAAAAATGTTGCTTGTGGGATATTTTTATATGCTTCAAACTGAACAAAGAAAAACATGTACTGAGGTATCGGTAGAGCAGGTCATCTATCTTTCTATCTCTGTCTCATTGGAAGGTTCATGGTTTGAACTCTGGCTGCTACAGTCTGCATGTCACAGTATCGTTGGGCATAACACTGAACCCCTAGTTGCCCCTCGGTGTTGGAATAAAAGCACTTAGGAATGTGTGAATGTGAGTGAATGGGTGTTACCAAACTAGTCCATTACCAAGTAGTTCCAATCCAAGCCTGGTTTCATCAAACTTAGATGAAAGGGTTGGCCACCTGGAAATTAGGATCTACTCCCATTTGGTCCATTTTTACCTAAACTGAGATGTCAAATTGTTATTCCTGTTTTGTTTTTGTTTGTTTGTTTTTTTTACTTTTCGCTGCTTGTCATACTTCAAACTTCTGGGCTTTAAGCTGCATCCACACTTGAAATGATTCAGAGTGAGCTGCCGACCTGAGGCTACGGGATGTAAATATCATTCTGCAGCTAAGGGCAAAATAACTGCTGATAATGTGAAGGGAGCAATTTCCTGGCAAGCAAGTGAAACGGCTACCAATGAGGAATCCTATTGAATGACATATGACCTGGTATTAAGTACTTTAGAGTGTTTACTTTGGCAAATAAAGACAGCTATGGTCAGTCTTGAGATTACTGGTAATTTACATGATTCTAGATTGGCTTTCGAAGCATCACACGTTATTGAACTTGAACATTTTTACCTTCTTAACAGTGGATTTCCATGAACTTTGGGATTTATTTTGAATGCAAACCAAGTAAATAAATGTAAAAAAATAAGGTTGATGCAGTGGAAGGCACAGGGCCGTCCGGTCGAGCACTAAGCCAAGACTTGGGGGCGTTTTTGACAGTGAAGGTGTCTCTTAAGAAACCTGCACATGAAGGTCCCAACATGGTAGCCCGTAGATGCTATGCAGAGCTTTACTGACCACGTGTTGTAGCTATGTGAAAAATACATGGAATAAACTGTGATGCGGGGTACTTGTGTTTGTATTGGTTTTGTTGTTGGATCCTAAAGCTTGTCCCCTTGACCACCTAGAAGACAGAAGTCATACAAAGACTTTCCTTACATTAGTCTTAAAACATGTAGTCATGGCCAGGGCAATGGCATGCAAGGCTGACTTTTACTTTCTCTAGATAAACCACGCTGACCGCTGTTATCATGGCCCAGTCTGAACTACACAGTGATTGAATCTGTGCTTTTAGTGTGGGGCAAAAGAGCACCTCAGTAAAGGAGAGAAGTGGGGTGGATTTACAACAACGCACAAAACAAGAAAACACATCATTGCTAAAGAAATAAAGAATAATAATTGGTTTTAATCTCAATTTCATTTTGTTTTATTCATTACTCGAATCCAAACTGGTGATGGAAAATAAAATTTGATTTATTGCTCAGACCTCAGCAGTGGGATTATAAGAACAACAATAACAACAATGTACAGCGTGTGCAGTTATACCTGTGCACTTCCCCAAGGCCGAGGCAGCAGTTAAGAAATGGTGTGTTTTACTGCTTATGAGTTCAACTTATCATTTGTAAAAAGGCACAAACAGAAGTTTTATTTGGCCTCTTTTAAGAGACCTTGTAGAGTTTCTGGGCATGTGTAGGGCTGCGGAGTAATCTTTTTAAGAGTGTGAAATCGGTGAGTTTTTGTCAATATGTGATGTGCATGCACACACAGGAAGAAAATGTGGCACTCCTGTGATGGTATGGCTTATGTATATGCAAGATCTGGCTTAAGGATAGTCAGTGGTCTTGGCGTTAAATGTGAATAAGCTTCCCCTGAATATCCATAAGTCCTGCAAGGTAATGCTAATCGAGTGCATAAAGTTGATTATCTTTTGCACAACATTCAGTCTGTGATGCTGTGCTGGAAGATAAGCTCCTAGCACTTCAAAGGTTCTGTTTGTCATTGGTGCTTTGATTTTTCACTTCCTGATGATGATGATGATGACGATGATGATGATGGGGATGTTCATTTGAGCATACAGAGAAGCTCTGCAGTATAACACATCTTCCACTATAGCATCAGTGTGTGATTTAGTCAAATAGGATGGTGTCTTTGCACCGATAATTTCCCTAATGGAGTTTTAAAGTAGACGGTTCAGCTCCACTTTAGTGCAGTGAGAACGGAGATTTCTTACCACGCTACAAAATGTAAAAAGTATGTCAAGAAGAATATATTCTAAATCCAGATGTTCAGAAGACTGTAAGACTGTAGCTATGAAAATGGGTATCCACAAAAAGCTTCTGAGTTGCCCCCAACTGTTTGTATGCATGGAGCATTAACTGTAGGAACCGACCGGGACTTGCCCGTTTCCTCCTCCCTGACCAGTCGATATACATGTGGGTTCTCGGGAAGGTCAGCGCAGGAGGAGCCAATCTGAGGGGCTCTGCTTTGATGCAGCGCGGCCATATTGATTCAGGAACACTGGGAGGCAGTGCTTTGTTACACGTTGGGTCAGGAGTCAATTGGCTCTCATTGCACCGTGCGGACAGCTACCTCAGTCAATTGGCATCAGTGTGGCGGGAAGAGCAGCGCAGGCACCGTTTCTCTCTGGAGACTAGCACAAATGGTATTAGCAGAAGAGACTACAGGTAGCGGGAGGCTGTAATTTTTTTGTGATTAAGATCATTTTCATTACTTAACACATAACAGGCATGTCAGGTTTGGTGTGGTGGTAATAAATATTAAACAAAAATATGAATATAAAATTGGCAAATCTGCTTTTGAGTCTTTGAGTAATCTTTTTAAACAATAACATTGGAACTCCATTTAGATTCTGTTTGTGTCTACACTTTTTTCACATGAATGTAATGCATGCCAAGAAAGGAGACATTAACACTTTTTAAAATTAAATATTAAGATATACTGAAAAAAACTCTGTATTTGATTGGCATAATTATTTGTATCATCTTTCCACACTAAACTCAGATGAGAAAATATCAACTGCTGTATATAGAAAATCCTAACTTGAAACAGATTGGAGCTGATGTAGGATAAACTCTCCATATCTGGTAAATATTAGGACAGAGCTGCAGGTATTTGCCAAAGTCTAATACCATCAGTTGATTATTAAAAGCTTGGCTTCCAGCAATAGTTTGATTTTTGTTTTTTTTTATCAGGGTTTTTTAACAGATGTATTCCAAGCCAGTCAGCACACCACACCGTTTTGGATTTTTTTGAGGAATGAAAGTAATAGCCACAGATTTAACAGACGCAGCTGTTGAGCTTTATTCACATAAAGTTAACATGATTTTTTTCTGTTGTTATGTGTATTTAAAGTTAAAAGCAGAAATAATCAACCAGAAAATGTGCCTGAGCCTTGATGTTCAGTTACTTTAGGTAGTAAGCTACGCTACGTGGACAAAACTGTTCGAACACACTACATTTGTATAAAATCATGCATCCAGCCACACAGTCTGCCTTTACGTACAGTTTTGAAAGCATGCATTACATGTGTAATGTACCAGTACCTTTGTCCATTTAGTGTAGTTAGCTGGTTCCTACTGTGTTTTTTAGTTGTTCGTTTTTTTTGGCTAGCTAATGAAGCTAAGCTAAAGCTTATAAAGCTGATCTAAAACTGTGTTTGTTTGACTGTTTGGCTTCCATGAATGGACCTTTATTTTGGAGATTCTCCATCACTGCATGACACTGGGTCTAACTATTAGTGTTTTTCTTTTTCTTTCTTTTTCTTTTTTTTTTAAAAAAAAGCTAATGAAAATGCCTATTATGCTTTTTTATGATGGCTAGCTAGCTGAATGCTTGTTTGTTGTTGTTTTTTTTTAAATTTCTTTTTAAGTGCAGATTATTGCTTTTAGATATTGAGTACATGGAGAAATGCAAATTTTAATGGGCTTGGTCCATCTTGTTACGGTTCTCAGTTACGGACATGCTATATTTGCAACAGTAGACATCAAAAGAGGCTAAGAGGTTAAAATCTTACTTTGAGAGCATAGACAGAGACCACAAGCTAAAATGCAATTGCTATTGGCAGAAACCTTGATCATTCTCTCCCTATTAGAGCCACCCTGCTGTTCTTCATTTCTTCATTCAGTTTCCTTGGAAAGAGACTGAAATGAATACTAATATTCAACTGAATATCACAGTGAAAAAGGCGGAAATAATATTTCTACCTACTAA